CCGGGGGGTACAAATCAAATTTTTATCATGTGAATTGTAAGATACCCGGGTACCTTATACGGCGTTTTACGGTACTAAGCAATCGATCTCAAATAAGCACGTAAACACGAAAACCAGTTTTAAATGTGTTACCATTACATACCTCTTAATACTACAGTATAATAGAAAATTCGATCGTTTGTTTGAATGAAAAATATCCCGAATCGAATGGTATACCGATAAAAAGTCGATTAATTCTGATTAATACATAATACTGTATTGGGTACGTATAACGTATAATTAAAATACGTAAAAGTATATCATACATCTAGAAACCGGAATTAAGCACCTTCGATTTATAATCTTGGTGAAATAAATCACGAATGGTGACCAATAGATGAAAAGATATGCTATTACGTTATCAGCCACGCACTCACATACCTGCGGCAAAAAAAAAACTCGCATTAGCATTAGCACATTTCTATTTTTAACTCTTCTGATTCGACATCCGGGAATTAAAATCATGAAATGCGTAAAAGCTAAATTGAGAGTAACTTGTGATAAGTGAAAAAAAAAGTTTATCTAATACTGTAATAATAATTTTTTGCCGCAATATTTCCATCCACCTTATACTGTATTATGTGTCCTTACCACAGTTCTTTTTTTTTTTCATAAACCACTGTAACTTTTTATTACCGGTAAGTTCTAATTTAAATAATTAGAAATTTAGAAAAACACGGAGAAAATATAATTAAGTTATAGATTATTGTACTAATTCGAAATAGAGATTCCGAAAAGATGGGGAAAAGTATTGTCACTCATTATGCTACGTATATATATATATATATGTATATATCTACATATACTGTACGTACGTACGATGTCGATGTATATATTGATATGTCTGATATATCGATATATGTACATGTGTATGACACATACATGGTTTGATATTTATAAAAAATACATATATCTATAACTTATATATCGATACGTATGATATACATGACTTAAAATGATCTATTGATTGGTTATAGATTAACACACCATTAAATTAAAGAAACGTAGCACTGAAATTTTAGTAGAATGAAAACATTGCGTGGTGGGAACCTATTTGTGAAGGCCCGCCAAAATTGTAACATTAATTCCTAATTCGGTTTTTACACGGAACACTTTAGACTTTTATGCGCAAGTATAAATAAGTAAAGAATTTACATTTGTATGTACATTTTTCACATCTTTATTTTTTTAAAAGGTAATTATTGATCAATAGCGAAAACGAAAAATTTCAAATTTCAAGGCAAAAAAACAAAAACGATACCATCAATATCAATATCATGGGAATCTTATCTCTTTTCTCGACTTCGAATCCCGATGGAGGAAAAGTGTCGTTAAGACATCCTTATTATCCAACCGATCTTAAGGTTATAAGAATTATTGGTTGTTTTTTCCCCAAAAAGATTGATGAATGGTTTTGATGAACTTACGTAACATCCTCTCATTTTTTTCGACATTCTCATTTTTTTCGACATTTACCGGAATCTATCTCCATAATTTACATATTCCCAATCATCTCATGTTATCCACGTTAACCACGTTATCTCACGTAACCACGTCATCCACGTCATCCACGTTATCTCACGTAACCACGTTATCTCACGTAACCTATGTATCCGGTCATCTCACAACCCAATCTTCTCACGTTTCTGATAAAATTATACGATGGTAAAATATTCAATAGCTTCCCAACTATACAGAACCAACATACTCAACAGCATTCATTTTAATAAGCTTTTTAATTGGAGTCTTTGTGGTAGTAGGCATATCCCTAGCAATAATCATTCCTAAACAAACGGTCGTACCAAAGCAAAAAGGAATCTTTGTATGGTTTATCATAACAGGATGCATTCATTTCTTTTTCGAGGGATATTTTGCATTATTCCATAGAACCATTGCGGAAAATAATGGATTATTAGCACAAATGTGGAAAGAATATGCGTTGAGTGATTCAAGATATCTTACTAGTGATCCTTTTGTAGTGATTATGGAAAGCATTACTGCAGTATGTATTAATAATTGTTATTTACTTTTATTATTAACTATATTAAGTTATTACTGCATTACTGTTATAATTATTATTACTATTATTTATCTGTTATTACTGTTATTATTTTTATTATTTTATTATTATTATTATTATTATTATTATTATCATTTTATTCACTATTATTATTATTATTATTATTATTATTATTATTATTATTATTATTATTATACATTACTATTGTCGATTTACGTTATCTCACCATCTACATTTATATTTAGTTATTCTGGGGCCCATTAAGCTTTCTTACAGCATATGGAATTTACGAAAACTTGCCATTCCGTTATATTTTACAAATAATAGTATCTTTAGGACAACTCTATGGACTAGTTTTATACTATTTTACCGAATTAATGGAAGGAGCATCACATTGTAGACCCGAAGGATATTATTTTTGGGTTTATTTCTTTGGAGCTAATTTTGTATGGGCCATTGCTGCTACCACCTTGATTTGGCAAGGTTGGGGTCAAATAGTTAATTTTGCCAAGGATGAGATTAAAAGGAAGAGTAAGAAATCTACTTAATTTTTTGAAAAAATCAGGTAATTTTCGTTGTAGTAGTATATTTATTTTATTGGGGAATTAGGGTTTAAAATTTTATCATGGGAATAAGGGTTTAATGTGATAATCTAATTACTCTAACGATTACTTTTAACGTAGTATTTATCAATTGCATAACTTCTTTTTAGCTTTATATTTGTTTTTTATTTGTGTTTTGTCGTGTAATAGTGTAGACATTCGGTTATTTTTTATTTTTAATATATATATGTGTGCTAATAAAATATTATATAATTAATATTAATATATATATATTCTTTTCATGTGACCTATTGTATAGTATCAAAATGCTAATAATTTTTTATTCCACATATCGATATACGTATGCATATATAACAATAATGATGGTGCAGTGATGTTACATAGAACTAGAGAATTGCTTCGCATATATATATATCACACAAATCGTGCGAAGTGCTTTCAATGAACAAAAAAAATCCACAGATTTCTGTGATTTTACTTGTGAAATGAACATAAAACGACATAATCATCTCGCTAGAACACGGATTAACATAAAATTGATGTAATCATCTCGCTAGAACACGGATTAATGTAATCATCTCGCGTGAAGGCATAAATAAATACGTAGTCGAAATTTATGAATATTGATTTTATTAGATGAATGTGTACTCACATAAGTACTTATGAAAATCTTTTTTTTTTTTTTAATTTAAATACATTTTTTGTAGGTAAGAAAAAAAAAAAGCTATACAAAAAAAAAGGGGTTTACAGTTATACAATGAATGAGATACAAAAATTTTAGTATATATTACAAAGATTGTATCAATTTTAATTATTTGACAAAAAAAAGAAGAATGGTGGAAGTAAAAGAAATCAAGATAATAAAAACGTGAATATTAAATCAAGATAATAAAAACGTGAATCTTAAATCAAGATAATAAAAACGTGAATATTAAATCAAGATAATAAAAACGTGAATCTTAAATCAAGATAATAAAAACGT